TATGTACAAATTTACAATTACAATGTATAAATGATCTTACTTACTATGTGCAGGGCCAAAATTCACATTTGCTTTTATTTCTTAGTATGGGAGAAAAAGAAAGAAGTTAAGACAATCAAGCAAGCTTTTAATTTATAAGTTTACAAAAACATTTTTTTTCTTATCAACCATTATACAGGATCAAAATGACACAAATAATTTTGTTTAGTTAAACCAATTTAGTGTAAATTAAATAATAGTGTAAATATTATTTGTGCAAAATATGTCAAATTTTGTTGAATGAACATTAGTGATTCAGGACATTTCAGTAAAATACAAAGGAATCATGTTAGTGGGTCCAAGCTTGTTGTTGGTTTTCTTTAGTCAGTCCTCTTTAATGGACAAAAACACACTTAAATGAGAAATTAAAACTTATTAAACTCAGCAAGATGTAATTTATCAGTCAGTAAGTACTTTAAAAGAGTTTAATCAATCCACCTGAGTTGAAACAACAAAGWAATTTGAAAACAAAAGTTCACCCTCATCCAAAATCCCATACCAACTATTAAGCACGGTGGTGGAGGGTTTATGATTTGGGCCACAGGACCTGGGCTCCTTGCAGTTATTGAGTTGACCATAAACTGCTCTTTCCCTTTTCCCTTACATAATTTTTGTAAACTTCGTAATCAACATGAAAAGAATAAATTGCACCGGCTCAGATACAGATAGGTAGCGATGTTATAGCTGCAGTAGCCTGGCCCTCGCCTTACTACGCTGCTCCGCTCAGTTCTAGTTTCCCTTCACTGCTTCCATTGAGATGGATTTCGCTGGCAGATTTTTAGCCAGGCCAATCAGAGAACAGAACGTYGATTTTCTGCGCAGAGTCTGCTTGTATTTTATTTTACCTGGGCCAATCAGCAAACAGAAGGAGGAGTTTTGAACGACATCAATTTTCTGCACAGTGTCTGCTAGTTATTTTAGCATACGGCAGTGGAGGTTAGTGACTAAAGCCAGTCTGTGTTGATAAGGCTTCCAAATTAAAATAAATATGTCTGACAAAGCTCTCATTTACAGTCGTCTTGTTCGGCTCGATATATTTCTCCTCTCAGTAGGGTTGTTTACAACACACAGGATTTCCGGTTAGCTTCTTAGCTTAGCCTCCTTCCCAGCGACATAGGCTGTGTCCAAAACGACAGGCCGGGTCCTCCGGAGGACCC